TCCCTCGAAGATCGAACCCTTTGCCCACATTGCTATTTCTATTGTGCGGTCAATTTATTTGTACTAGATCTATTACATATTATTTTAAAAGATGTGATTTAAATTCCTTCCAAATAAAACAATAAATTCTTACCTTACCAAAACAGGGTCTTTCGCCAACAATTGCAACAACTTTGCAGGATAAGGAACTATAAATCCCTATCTTAAACATATGAAATCTACATACGTACTACATTGTATATACATTGTTTTCCATAGGTGTACAAACGAATACCGGAAGTATCCCTGTATCACCTAAATGATCACGTTCTTTGATCCATTTAAAATACCACCCGCTTGCTGCTATTAGATTCTTTACCATTTTATCAACAGCTCCACTTTCTGCTTCTGTTGCAATGACCAGTTACGAGCTAGTTCCTAACCATTCCTTATCTAATGTAAAAATGTTTGTAAAAATCTGTCCCGAGCATATTTAGCTTCTGCATACAAGTGATTCCGCGTTCAAACCATTCGACAGAAGGCACAACAGTTTCTGGGAATCTTCTTGTTATGCCTATGTTAAGCTGTGTAAACCATATACCTCTTGTTGCCACTGTGACGAGCATAATAGATATGCTGAGAATACTTTCTGGTCGTAAAATGCGAACCGTTTCGTTTAGCGTTGTCATTCTCATGGAAAATGTTGTATCTCCTCTGTCCAAATGATTCAACACTTATTTGTGTAAAATATTTAATAAATGGGGTGTATTTTAAGTAAAGAAACCATTAAGCATATGTGGCAAATTGCAAGAAGTACCTTTAGAAAAAGATCTATTACACCATCCATGCCTTATTTTAGCTACCTCGATGTCTTCATCTGATCAGAAATTATGGTTTTCTTGGTTCTTAGTAACACATAGTGTAAGTTTATATAAGTCTATCGGACTAATTGGTACTTGATAATGTTCAGCGCAATTTGGAATTGACAGAAATTAACGCACTGTTCGTAAATAAATTATTGTGACATTCAATTAAAAAAAAACAACAACACCAACAATGATTGAAGAAGTAATAGTTTTGTATAAAAAGAGCCACTGATATTGATACTGACAGTATCAAACGTATCATCAGGAAATGACATTGATGGCATCACCGCCTCTTAAATATCTGATATAATGACATTTTCTATGACATTGATGGCATCACCGCCTCTTAAATATCTGATATAATGACATTTTCTATGACATTGATGGCATCACCGCCTCTTTAATATCTGATATAATGACATTTTCTATGACATTGATGGCATCACCGCCTCTTTAATATCTGATATAATGACATTTTCTATGACACTGATGGCATCACCGCCTCTTAAATATCTGATATAATGACAATTTCTATGACATTGATGGCATCACCGCCTCTTAAATATCTGATATAATGACATTTTCTATGACATTGATGGCATCACCGCCTCTTAAATATCTGATATAATGACAGTTTCTATGACATTGATGGCATCACCGCCTCTTAAATATCTTATATGATGACATTTTCTATGGATTCTTTAGGCTTGAATCTGGCTTTCATTATCATCTATGTTTAATCATCCAAAAAAGTTTATCTATTTCGCACCTATTTCAATAAATGCGTAATTTCTAGTACCGCGTCTGGCATCCAAAACCCTCAAAGTCTTTAAAAATCAATGATCAGAATATTTCCATTTTAACAAACAAGCGACCTTTACCAATAAATGGTGTAATATAATTTATTGTTTTTGTAAGATGTGTGTAAAATAGTATAGCTATCAATTTGTTGTTTTTCGCTTGTCCATTCCAGAAACGACCAAAATAAAAGGGAACCATAAAAATGTTTAAGGTCAAACATTATCACTTTTACCGTAAACAGTACTGTCAGTTTATAAAGTGGCCATCTTTTTAATAGTATTTACCTCTAAAGCTTTACCGCTGTAAAACTGTAACAAAGCAGTCATTGCATCGGCATTAGCAGCAAATCCGTGGTTGTCATAAACACTAGACGCTGCGTTATAATCTTTATATGTACTCATTACTATCAGTTATGAACAATTTCTTATTGCAGTAATTTGTAAGGAATACATTATACTAAAAATGCAATCGTGCAAGTTTAGTATAAGCAACAACGACACGGCAAAGTCATATTGCGGCCGAGTCTTCAACTTTACTTGCCGACGGAGATTATACGTATGTAAGTATGAGCAATCACAAAATAAATTAATTAACAAAAGTAAATAAGAATTAAATGAAAGTATATGTACTAAACTATAGATCCTAAAAAACAAAATCAGAAAAAGGGAAAATCAGCTAAAATCATTGAAAAGGAACGCAAAATGGTGAAAATCGCAGATACGCATATAGTTTGATATGGTCTGTTCATTAGAGAAAGTAAAGGTGCAACATCTGTCACTCCCATAGCACCGCATTACAACACTAAATTTAATGTAGCCGAACAAATGATTCCAAATGACCATGATATAAATGTACAAAAAACGTGGATGAAGTACTAGTATGTGACAACATTCTGCAGCTGACATGCAGCACTTAAATTATGCTGTTGTAAATATAAAAATTAAGGAAGGGATAAATGTTGCAAACTCTTAGACTGTTAATGGAAGATACAGAAATGTGCAACATGTCTTACGCCACCTAGCATAAGTTTAAGTGACATTCAATCTTCAATACTAAACATATTTTCATTAATAGAGAGCAGAAAACGTAAACGATTTGAAGCATTATTTATTACGTTTTACCAGAAGAGATAAACATATTTAACAACAGTAAATATTTCACTGCTATAATCATTTCATACAAATAAACTTGACTATGAACATGAAGATATGGGTATGGGAGTACCTGAACAATAAGCTAACATGTATAACCCTAAGATCCTGATGGAAAACATGAAAGGAAGGCATAAAAGGAAATGTAATAGAATACGACTATCACATTTGCAAAGAAAAACGTATTATTAAAAGGAAATCAATATAAACACTAATTAAAAATAAAACTGATAACGAATTATATGGATACTAATGAATCATAATTTGATATAGACGAAAAATAAAACAGAACAATGGAAAAACCAACAACATTTATTACAACAATCGGAACATCTTGGCTAATATCAATAATAACAGAATTTCTTATCCAATGTTTTACGGAAAGGGCAAAAAGATGAGATCGGTATTACAGTAAGGAAATCAATAAAAGTTGAACATAATGAGATGATTAGTCCTTATAACTTGCTGGAAACGAAATTGGCCTGCCTTTTGCCACCACAGTAGAGTTAGTGGTGGCTCAAGTTCTTTATTTTGTAATTGTCTGAATGAAATGGTTTAAGTTCATAGAAATTAATGAGTTCTTTGAATAGAATGGTTTAAATTCAAACTAATTTACGAATATTTACACTTGAAACACCATTAATGTAGAAGTACTAATAAAATAAATGAAAAGTAAAACTTGCGTATTAATATATATAATAGTTTATTTCAATCTCATCTAATATGTACATACGAGTGCACATTCATTAGACCTTAAAATACATGTATACGGTCATTCTTATAAAGAATTATAGGATACTGTGTTGTTACAAACATTTTACAAGTACATGTATCATAATTTAAAGGTTAGATTACCATTATTAATCAAAGTGTAAAATCTTCATTAAAATAACGTCCACTTCAGGCATTATTTTTAAAGCCCGGTACTGAAAGGTATTTACATAGTTATACATCAACTTTGATCAAAGATGAGCAGATTAGTAATGATTATCCGACTGCTTAGAAAAAATGTCACACAAACATACACACAAACCAGAACAACACCAAAAACCCCCAAAAAGGGAAATTTATTTTTCTTCTGTATTCATAATGGGGCATTTTATCGGGGTTGGGTGCCAAAACTTTCATGCGGGGAACAGTTTTTAGTCCCCAATTGGAAAAGTTGCAAAACGAAAAAAATTTTTTAAGCCACGGGTCTATGCTTTAAAGAGGAAGAAAAGGGATTTTTTCCATGAACAATTAAATATTTCTATTTTTACGACGCATTATCCTGTTCAAGTTATGTAGCCAGTCTTAAAAAAGAGCTGAAGTCATCCAACTTTTCTTTCTTTTTGTAATTAAAATAATAATTACTAAACCACAAAGCCCCGACAACTGTTCAACAACAGTCTATGAAAATATGATTGAATCCCTTGCGAATCAGATATAGGATTTACAGACTGTAGAAGTATAATTATTTTTACATATATAGCATACAAAAACTACAAATGTACTTTATACATTTAAAGAGCAAGTTCAAATATTACACAACTTGCTTCAGAAATGATCAATTAGACCTTGGTTTCGATAGGTTTTTTTTACAAAAGAATATAGTGAGTATCCCTGTATCACCAGAATGGTCATGTTCCTTTACCCATTTTTCATATTCACCTCTAGCTTTTAAATCTTTAACCTTTTTTTCAACGACACCAATTTCTTCTTCTGTTGCAAATGACCAGTATGCGTTGGTTCCTCGCCATTCCTCATCCAATGGACCATCGAGATTGTAATAATTTTTGAATACGTCTGACCCTAGTATATTTAGCTTCTGAATACACGTGATTCCAGCGTCATGAAACATTTGTTCACACTGTTCCAGAGTGGGCACAACTGCTTCAACGAATCGATTTGTTAAGTCCATGTTAAGTTGTGTAAACCATGTAACTCTTGTTAGTACTGTGTCGGGCATGGCAGATATGATGATTAGACTTTCTGGTCGTAGAATTCGAACTGTTTCCTTCAGTGTTGCCACACTGTTTGGAAATGTATTATCATTTCGGTCCAAATGATTCAAAACCTATCCGAGTAAAATATTTCTCTGTATATTTGAAAATGAAACCATCAAGATTATGTAGCAAGTTTCAAAGTGAATAAAACATTTGATAAATTTTGGGTTGGTGTCAAATTGACACTAAAAAGCTGATTTAACATCAGATTGAAAAGACCCTGTCCTAACCGCATTGACTTACAACCTTTGTAATAAAACTATCAATGGTTTGGAGTCAAACATATTACTGAATCATACTTTATTTTAAAGGCAACAACTAATGCTGAATAAACAAGCAATTATCATAGTATTGCAAGCAATCCATAAGTCCCCTACCGGTTAAAACCATAGCAACATTCTGATGGGCCATTGGCCATTCAATTTTACCAGTGGATGAATGACATGAATGAACTTAAATCTTTTGAGTTCTAAGTTTGTCTAAATCACAGTAATGTGTTAAGTTTCCCTGCCTAGTAAAGTAATTATGTTTATACAACCTTGTCATATTATTATGAAGTGGGATTTTAAAGTAAATCCTATAAGGAATGAAGAAGTTGGAGTGAAAAGTACCAATTTTTTTAAAAAATCTAAGTTCAAGGGGGGGATAATTCTGGAAATAGTCTTGCTAGAGTATTTAACCTTCTCAAAAATGTTGAGTGATAAAAAGAAACAGATATATGAAGTTTGAAGTAGATACATTAGGAAATAAAGAAGTTACTTAAAAAAAGACAACATTTTTTCCCTTAAAAATTCTAAGTTCAAGGGAGATAATACTGATAATTTTTGTGCTAGAGTTGTAAACATTGTCACATATGATGTGGTTGATGGCCAGAAACTTATATTTAAAGTTTGAAGTAAACACCTTAAGAAATAAAGAACTTATAGTGAAAAAGCTGAAAAAATTAAATCAGAAATCTTGAAATTCAGGCTATTTTGTTGCCATAGCAACCAGAATTTTCAACATAGGAAGAAAAAAAAAAGATGTGCATAATCTCCAGACTGCCATCTACCCATATTTCAAGTTCATAAAAATATTTTCAGTACTTTTTGAGTTATCACTTGATCCAGTTTATGTGTTAAATTTGCCATATTTTCAGACTATTTGTTGCCATAGCAACCATAATTTTCAACAAAGGAAGAGAAAAAAAGGACGTACATAATGTCCATACTGCCATCTATCCATATATCAAGTTTCATAAAAATATTTTCAGTACTTTTTGCGTTATCGCGGGATCCAGTTTTGTGGACGGACGGACTGACGGACTGACAGATGGACAGACAGACAGACGGACAGACGGACGGAGGGTAAACCTAAAGTCCCCTCCGGTTAAACCGGTAGGGGACTAACAAATTGAATTATTTATTTCAGACACGGCTTTAATTGAACCAATTTAAGCCGCGTTTAAGATAATTCTACTGTTGCATATTGATAACGACAATCATCTCAAATTGAAGAGATGAAAACAAATTTGAAGATACTTACAATAATAACATCATATAATAAGCATAATTATTAACAAAAATTATGGAAAAAATGAAATTCATTTTATATCACTTACCACATTGAACATGACAGCATCAAATGTATCATCTGGGAATGGCATTGGTGGCATCTTCGCCTCTATAATACCTGCTATCATGCCCTTTTCTTTGCATTCTTTCAGCTTGCTTCTGGCTTTATCTAACATCTTTGACGAAGCATCCAGTAGAGTTATCTGCTTAGCACCCATTTCAATAAATGCTTTTGCATAATTTCCAGTACCACATCCGGCATCCAAAATCTTCAAAACCTATTTGCCAATGAATAGAAGCAGCTTGTGTTTAATACTTAAATAATGTGATATCAAATATCATATAAGCGTTTAAAGATAAATGCAAAGGAATTTAAATAAAACTCACCCGACTTGCTTTCCAATGGAAATTGGCGCTGTGTTTTTGGTTGTACATGTATATATTCATATTGAATACTTAGAAAATTAATAATTGTGCTTATTTTCACGCTATATATTTTCAAAATATAATTAAAGAACGCCGTAAAAACATGTCTGGAAAGTAATTGTGTAAGACGCATTTTTTTTTACCTCATGAGCTTCCAAAACATTTATCTCACTTATGGAGTACCCACGAATGTTAAAAACATTGTCAAGATAACGAAATGCAATAAATTTACACATATCATATAACATAAATTACTGTAATAGTTATTAGATAGCTCTAGATCTAGCTAATTTTTCTTCAACATAGTTCTATAAAATTCATTTACATTGTCGTCACCTCCATACACAGAGATTTTATGAACGTAAAATAATATTTCAGATAATGTGTATTTTTAAAACGGGTATGGGTAAAGAAATGAATTGATCAAAAATGAGAATAAGAGAAAAAGCACGTCATTGGGATCTGAGTGGCATCTTTTTTGACTATGGCACATTGTTAAACAGAAATTTAGGAAAAACAATTATTAAAGCACTTGAAGAGATGAATCAGTCATTAAAGTTTCTCCTGGTATGAGGGACGATTTGGAATGATGGATTTCTAATATTCACTCGCAGGACAGTAGCTTAATTGACTGGAGATCTGTTTTTCATGGTAATAATTTTGGAGGTAGATGGACCCCAGAAGAGAGATTATACCATATAAATGTGTTTATCATATTTTATGCTCACAACCGTGGTGTTTGTTCCGTGTGGCGCCACGTACATGCAATCAATGTTTTCATCCTCATGGGATTGTTCGTCTTGTTGCTGGGTCATATGGGGGTTGCGTTCATTGAAATATGGAAACAAAGTGATCCCTCGGATGAACTCCGCCTTTCCTTGTTGATCTTGTTTATCATATTTTAGAATTAATGGCCATTTTCTTTGCATTGAAAGCACCGGTTAACAAAATTTGAAATACACATATAAAATTTTTATCTGACAGTTCAACAGAAGTGAGCTACGTAAATAAAATGGGTGGAATAAGGTTAGTCCTATAACACAAAAAACAAGGATGGATTCAAAATTATACAATTTTAAATTATCTGTTAAAAAATATTTACTTAATGGGTAATTATCTCTTTTAAGGGTGTCTTTCCTCTAGTCTTAATATTTATTATTTTTATTAATTTATTTTAATTTGAAAATTTTATGTATACTTTTGTCTTTCTTTAATTTAAAACGGTGATAAGTCTTTTTCATGCCTCTCTTTGTCAAAACCATCAGTATCTAAGGACCACAATGGAAATAAGAGATTAAGTTCTCTTTTTTGTGTTATCCTTGGTATGATGTTTTTGATATGGTGCATTTCTTTACATTGATTTTGTTTTTATTGTTTTATCATGTATTGGATATGTTTTTACCATGTTATTTACTGAATACTGAAATAAATCTATCTATCTAACAAGAATAAATATCAACAAGGCAAAGGCAACGTAGGGCAACCGGAAGGCAATTAACAAAAACCTGGAGTGGACATAAGGGCGGTGAAAGGAGTGGGACATGAAATGTGAAATAATATAGACTAAAACGGGAGAGGGGGGATTTAAGGAAATACCTAACGTCAACGACAATCCAACAAGACAGACATCACAAGCCTGTAACGTCTAATATATTGGACTAGAATAAGGTCAGATAAGTGCAATGTCAATCGAGATATATGGTTGTTAGTCCCCTACCGGTTTAACCGGAGGGGACTTTAGGTTTACCCCTCCGTTCGTCTGTCTGTCAGTCCGTCCGCCCACAAAACTGGATCCCGCGATAAAGCAAAAAGTACTGAAAATATCTTTTATGAAACTTGATATATGGATAGATGGCAGTATGGAGATTATGCACGTCTTTTTTTTTCCTATGTTGAAAATTCTAGTTGCTATGGCAACAAATATTCTGAAAATATGGCAGATTTAACACATAAACTGGATCCAGTGATAACTCAAAAAGTACTGAAAATATTTTTATGAAACTTAAAATATGGGTAGATGGCAGTCTGGAGATTATGCACATCTTTTTCTTTTCTTCCTTTGTTGAAAATTTTGGTTGCCATGGCAACAAATAGACTGAATTTCAAGATTTCCGATTTAAAATTTTCAGCTTTTTCACTATGAGTTCTTTATTTCTTAAGGTGTTTACTTCAAACTTTAAATACAAGTTTCTGGTCATCAACCACATCATATGTGACAAGGTTTACAACTCTAGCACAAAATTTATCAGTATTATCTCCCTTGAACTTAGACTTTTTATAAAAAAATGTTGTCTTTTTAATAACTTCTTTATTTCCTAATGTATCTACTTCAAACTTCTATGTATGTTTCTATTATCACTCAACATTTTTGAGAAGGTTAACTACTCTAGCAAGTCTATTTCCAGAATTATGTCACCCTTGAACTTAGATTTTTTTCGAGAAATTGGTATTTTTTACTCCAACTTCTTCATTCCTTATAGGATTTACTTTAAAATCCCACATCGTAATAATATGACAATGTTGTATAAACATAATTTCTTTACTAGGCAGGGAAACTTAACACATTACTGTGATATATAAAACTTAGAACTCAAAAGATTTAAGTTCATTCATGTCATTCATTCACTGGTAAAACTGAATGGCCAATGGCCCATCAGAATGTTGCTGGGGTTCTAACCGATAGGGGACTTATGGATTGCTTGCAATACTATGAAAGTTGCTTGTTTTGTATGTCAGAAGGTATATGGCTATAGCTATCTTGTTCTGATAAACCAGGTGTAGCAAATGAAGCAGATATACCTTCTCAGCAGTTTAAAGATCATATTGAATGGGAAATAAAAGATGAAATATTTGAGAAAATTTGTAAGGTGTGGCAGAAGCCAGGTATTGATTTATTTGCGTCACGTTTAAATAATAAAGTAGAGAAAAACAGAATCCCTAAAGAAAGTCCAACACAACAAAACTCAAAATGTTGCAGGCTCGGTTTGATTGAGTCTGTTCATTGACGGTACTGGAAAGTGCAAGTTACTGTCCACGCCCCTAGCACCGGCTTAAGCAGAATTCAACATTTACACGAAAATGGAGAAATCCGCAGATGTGTTCATACGTCGGTTATCATGGAACCTTCAATAAGACACAGTAGTGCCATTCCATGCTTTTGCCCTAAACGAGAAAACAATTGGCGGAACTAAATAAAATGGAATTTTGAAAGGGGATCTGAGGTTATGAAGCCTGCATATCACAGTTTAGACGTCAAAAGACAAATTTAAAAAGCAGGCAACATATCCAAAGGGTGTTTATACAGTATTCAAGTAGACATACTGGAACCACCCAAGTAGAAAATGGCCAAATAGAAGAAACTAAAAGTACCACATAACATGTATACGTATACATACGCCTATTGTTCATAGAAACCAGATTCTTATGCTACATACAAGTCATTGATGCATTTACACTTGACTGGGGAAACCTATAATATTTATATATTTTTCCTCCTTTCAGTGTTGTAAGTCGCTGCATTCGGAAAATACAGACAGACAGGGCAAATGCTGTTATCATAGCCCCAATGTGGCCATCACAGGCATGGTTTTCTTTACTCATGAAAATTCTAGTCGATTTCACAGTGATTTTACAGGACAACTCGGTTATTAAGGACAATGAATTTAAGATCTCAAGATCAGAAACATCCAATTTCAAAGAAATTAGTTCTTATGGCATGCAAAGTGTCTGGAGATTATACAGAGCACAGGGTTTTTTTCTGGAAAACCAGCCAATATTACATGTCATCATAGAGTGGTGCCACAAAACGCGAGAACCAACTATATATTTTAGCGGTGGTAACATTTCTGTAAACGACAAAAATGGATTTCATTTCGGTGTCTTTCAAAGACGTAATAGAATTTTTTACTATTGAATTTGAGTTCTCTCTTTATACTCCAGAGCTGCCTTGTCCTCGTTAGCCATCATATTGGCATCGTTTACTGCAGGAACACACCCTATAGTGCTTAGATTCATGAAAGGCGTATTTAATCAGCTGCCACCTAAACCAAGGTACTCTTATACTTGGAATGTGGACATAGTATACAATTATTTGAGAAAACTATCACCAGTGAAACACTTATGTCTAAAAGATTTGACTTTAAGGTTAACCATGCTTATGGTGCTCACTAATGCAGCACAGGTGCAAACGATTCATATTCTTAGTGTAAATTATATTAAAAAGTTCCGATCTAAGTTTGTGTTACATTTTAGAGGCTTTTAGTGGGACTATTGTTCAATCATTTATTTGTTTTCTTTGAATTCCTTATCAGTTACAAATGATTTATCATTTTAGTGATTAGCCTGTCCGTGCTCTGCATAGTGCCCTGTCCTGTTTTTGTTTGGGGTCCGCTTGGGCTCCTTGCCACTGGTTCATGTTGCTGGATCTTGTGGGGTTTCGTTTAATGAACGCCGCCTTTCCTTGTTGATCTTGTTAATCATATTTTTTCCCTTTGTTTAAAACAAAGCCGTCCTGATTATAATTCAGTTTTTTGGCATGAAAGCATGCCCTCCAGATAGGAGACTTTGTTTTTATACAGTTTTTGAAGAATGTTGCGGACAAAAATATTGCGAACTAATTCAGAAGGAGCATTATTGATCAGTTATGTAAAGCCATATGGTCCTGGTACCAGAGACACAATTGCCCGGTGAGTGAAGACAGTTATATTTCGAGCTGGTTTAGGTGATGTTTTTGGGGCACATAGTACAAGATTAGCAGCGGTGTCAAAGGCAAATCTGCAGAGAGTACATGTAAAGTACATCCTTAGTGCAGCAGGCTGGTCCAGGAGGGTCCACCATAACACAAGTTAAAAGT